AATACATTACATTCTCTGGCAGTTCATTCCATGCAGGAACCACTCTGTGTAAAACATTACCCCTCATGTCCATTTTAAATCTTTCTCCTCTCAATTAAAAATATGCACTCTCGTTTCCAACTCCCCCACCCTAGGTTAATGACCCCTGTCATTCACCTTATCTATGCCCTCATGATTTTATGAACATCAATAAGGTCAGCCCTCAACCTCCTACACTCCAGTCAAATAAACGTCCCACTCTGTCCAGTCTATTTTTAAATCTCACACCCTCCATTCCTGGCAACATCCTGGAAAATCTATTCTGAACTCTCTCCATTTTAATAACATCCAGGGTGACCAGAACTGCACACAGTACTCCAGGAGACTTCATAAATATAATTTTGTGCCATTTGGATGGAAAACTACACCAGTTACCTTTCAATGATTAACCATCAAGGTCATTCTAGGATTACACAACTACCTTGTAGTTAATTTGGTTGATGTTCAGCTAAACCTGTGAAGAACATTTACAAGGGATCACAAATCTGTCTACAAGTCAATTTGCTAGCGTGAATTGACTAATTTGTACTACAACGCGAGAGAAGGAAAGTAATACTTAGAACAACAAAAATAGCTGCAATGCCTAAGACAAAACTTGGAATTCTATTATATAATGGCATGAGTGTTTTGTTTTTTGGAGATTTGGTCCAAATATCAGCAATGTGGAAACTCCTTTGACAGGTTTATTGAAGAAAGGCAAGAAATGTGAATAGATAAAATAAAATAATGTCTTAAAAACTGGACTGACCGTTGCATCAATTTAGCAGCTCCTCATTATGAGAAGCTTTAGCGGCTGATATTATTGGTGTTGGTGCAGGTTGGTAAAGAGAAATAAGAAGGTGTTCAAAGGGTAGTTAGTTATCTTTCCAGCAAATTAAATATGTGTCACCAAAAATACTCAATGGTGGAGAAGGAAGCATGGAGCCTGATCTTGGGTCTACAAAATTTTGAAATCTTCATATTCAACAACTCTTTAGAGCCTGTTATTTTTACAGACCCTAATTGTTTAATGTTTTTGGACAGATTCCACGATAAAAATTTTACACTGTTTGAGAGTTTAATGTGAGGACCACACAATGTAAAAACATCATTAATGTTAAATGAACAGATGAGATTACAGAAAAATAAAACAAAGAGCTGTGGATGCCTAACACCTGAAGATTATAAATTAGAGAAAATGAGTTGTCAAATGCAAATATGAATTAAAATAAATCTTATCAACGTGGAATTGTCCATGACAATATCAGTAAGAGCGAACACCGCACAGTCCTTGTGGAGATGAAGTGCCACCTCCACATTGATAATAATCTTCATCATGTGTGCCACTATCACCATACTAAATGGGACAGACTTTGAACAGATCCAGCAACTCAGGACTGGGCAGCCATGAGGCACTGTGGGCCATCAATAGCAGCAGAACTGTACTCCAGCACAAGCTGTAACCTCACGGCCCGGCATATCCCCCACTCACCTATTACCATCCACCTAGGTGATCAACCCTGGTTCAAGGGAGAGTGCAGGAGGGCATGCCAGGAGCAGCACCAGGCATATCTAAAAATAAGGTGTCAACCTGGGGAAGCTACAAAACAGGACTATTTGCATTGCCTACAAGCAGCATTAGTAGCAAGTGATAGACAGCTAAGCGATCCCACAATTGACAGATCAGATCTAAGTTCTGCAGTCCTGCTACATCCAGTCGTGAATGGTGCTGGACAATTAAACAACTCACTGGAGGAGGAGGCTCCACAAACATCCCCATCCTCAATGACGGAATTCAGCTCTTTTGTCCATGTTTGAACAAGGCTGTAATGAGGTCAGTAGCTGAGTGACCCTGAAACCCAAATATGGTGTCACTAAGCAGGTTATTGATGAGCAGGTACTGCTTGATAGCATTGTTAATGACACCTGCAACATTTAAAGCTGAAGCTTTTGCAGCGATCTTCAGCCAGAAGTGCCGAGTGGATGATCCATCTTGGCCTCCTCCAATGGTTCCCAGAATCATAGATACCAGACTTCAGCCAATTCGATTCACTCCCCGTGATATCAGGAAACAGTTGGATGCACTGGACACCGCAAAGGCTATGGACCCTTACAACATTCCAGCAATAGTATTGAAGACTTGTGCTCCAGAACTTCTCGTTCCCCTAGCCAAGCTGTTCCAGTATGGTTACAACACTGCTATCTACCCAACAATGTGGAATATTGCCATGGTATGTCCTGTACACAAAAAGCAGGACAAATCCAACCCAGCCAATTACCGCCCCATCAGTCTCCTCTCGATCATCAGTAAAGTGATGGAAGGTGTCATTAACAGTGCGATCAAGCAGCACCTGCTCAGAAATAACCTGCTCAGCGACGCCCAGTTTGGGTTCCGCCAGAGCCACTCAGCTCCTGATCTCATTACAGCCATGGTTCAAACATAAACAAAACAACTGAATTCCAGAGGTGAGGTGAGAGTGACAGTGACAGCATTAAGAACCCTAGCAAAACTGAAATCAGGGGGCAAACACTCCACTGGTTAGAGCCATACCTGGCACATAGGAAGATGGTCGCGGTTTTTGGAGGTCAGTCATCTCAGCTCCAGGACACCTCTGCAGGAGTTCATCAGTGTAGTGTCCTAGGCCCAACCATCTTCAGCTGCTTCATCAATGACCTTCCATTTATCATAAGGTCAGAAAATGGGGGTTTTCCTGGATGGTTGCACAATGTTCAGCATCACTCACATCTGGTCAGATACTGAAGCAGTTTATGTACAAATGCAACAGGATCTGGACAATATCCAGGTTTGGGCTGACAAGTGACAAGTGATATTCACGCCACACAAATGCCAGGCTATGACCATCACCAATAAGAGACAATCTAACCACTGTCCCTTGACAGTCAGTGGTGTTACCATCATTGAATATTCCACGATCAATATCTGGGGTGGGGGTTATCATTGACCAGAAACTCAACTGGATTCACCACATAAACACAGTGGCTACAAGAGCAGGCCAGAAGCTGGGAATACTGTGGCAAGTAACTCACCTCCTGATTCCCCAAAGCCTGCCCACCATCTGCAAAGCAGAAGTCAGGAGTGTGATGGAATACTCCCCACTTGCCTGGATGCACTGCAGCCCCAACAACACTCAAGAAGCTTGACACCATCCAGGACAAAGCAGCCCGCTTGATTATATTTCCCTATTTTCCTAATTGAGAATCAGACATTGAGAGATAAGTCAGTCACTGATGTTGGATAATGATACAATTTGTTTTCCAATGTGGCTAATAACAGGGAAGATATTAATTGGTGGCACATATGTGATGGATCCAGCTGAGTATTGTAACAGATTTTTAGAGAGGCTAGTGAAATTCCAATTGCAGATCCCTCTGTCCCTGTGTATGCTTTAGAACTATCCTATTAAGTCTATGGTCTCTCTTAATCCCTTCTGCAACAATGTACCAATGCTTACTTCTCCTCGTTGCTTGTTTTATTTTTAAAATAACCCTTATAATTACTGAGCATGGAAATATTAACTATCATCTAAGTCTTCTGATCAATATGATGCAGTAAAACTGTCTATTGCAAAAATTCTTAGTGTCACCTAAGACTGAAGTACTGACTGTCATCCAGTATTAAATTGTGGCTCAGTACAGCCTACTGGCTTGTGTACATTCAGAAATACTGATGTTGTCACTTAGTATAGGAAGATTGACTGTAAATTTCATAAAGGTTTTAACTTTCCTGAAGTACTCTGCAATGTAATGTTAATTTTCCTCTCTCTGGGCCAAGCAAGCCTTGCTCAAGTCTTACCTGCTCCAGAAGTTTACCATAACACAACCGAGCAAGTTGAGTCAAAATACCTTTAACTTCCCTGATCAGCTGGAAATGATTGCTGGAGATAATTCAATTGCAATAGCTCCACCAGCTGATTAGTTATTTAGCTCATTTAGGGAGTGGGTAAAGTTTCCATTAGACTCATTAAATGCAAGCTTGAATCTCATTTCAATTCAATATTTTCTCATCAATCTGTTCAGAGACATTATGATATACCTGTGAAGCAGGTGGGACTGGAACCCAGGCCTCCTGGCTCAGAGGTAGGAACACTACCACCGCACCATAAGAGCCCCAACACCCCTGGGTCGAGGCAATGGCCTAGTGGTATTATTGCTGCACTGTTAATCCAGAGACCCAGATAACATTCTGATGACCTGGGTTCAAATCCCGCCACAGCAGATGGTGGAATTTGAATTCAATAAATATCTGAAATTAAGAACCTATTGATGACCATGAATCCATTGTCGGAAAAAACCCATCTGGTTCCCTAATGTCCTTTAGGAAAGAAAACCTCCATCCTTACCTGGTCTGGCCTACATGTGACTCCAGACCCACAGCAAAGTGGTTGACTCTTAACTGCCCTCTGAGCAATTAGGGATGGGCAATAAATGCTGTCTATACAGCGACACCCTCATCATGAATGAATACAGGAAAAAAAAATTCAATTTAAGCCTCACCACCAGGCAAACCTATCTGAAAAATCATTGAGTCCCACTAAGGTACGTTATAAAGGGCGGTGGCTCAGTGGTTAGCACTGCTGCCTCACAGCACCAGGGACCCAGGTTCAATTCCACCCTCGGGTGACTGTCTGTGTGGAGTTTGCACATTCTCCCTGTGTCTGTGTGGGTTTCCTCCAGGTGCTCTGGTTTCTTCCCACAGTCCAAAGATGTGCAGGCTACGTGGATTGGCCATGCTAAATTGCCTATAGTGTCCAGGAGTGTTTAGGTTAGGTATGTTAGACAAGGGAAAATGTAGGGGTAGGAGAATGGGTCAAGGGTGGGATGCTCCTCGGAGGGGCGGTGTGGACTTGTTGGGCCGAATGGCCTGTTTCCACACTGTAGGGATAAAAAAAATCTTAACTTGATGGGCCTCATTGCAAAGAACTGTTTCTCTGAACCATGCGATTACATCTTGGTGTCTTCAGCCAGGTATCCTGTCTTTGTCAGCCACAGAACCAGGAAGAAATAGTGACTGTTTCACACCTTCACTCTCACTGAGGAGTACGGAGCTCTAACACAGCAGTGGCAGAGATTCACAAATTCAGCAGACCTGGGATTGAACCTGGAACCCATGGGAATAACCCAGGATTGTGAAATTATCCAGCTGACGTCGCTTGGCAAGAAGAAAGAATGGCCAGCATTTATAGAAGTAGGTTTTATGTTTTTTTTAATAAAAGGCTATCAGAGCACCTACAAAACACTTTGCTTAAAATTTTAAACAATTATCAAGGAATCACAGCAAACTGATTTACATGCTGAAGGGAATTTCTATGAGAACTCAATAATATCAGCCAAATATAATACAGCCAGGAGAGTGCCAGTTAAAGATTTCAAAATTCTTAAACTAATGTTGTGTGTAGCAAGGAAAAGGAAACCAGCACTTTACGAACCCTTTGTTTGAACTTGGCTCAGAAACAGGAACCCTTGACACTGAGATCAAACATTCCCAGCCAATCCTCATCAGTACACCAGTTGGCAACAAGCCATTCTCTCACAATTAACAACAAGAATTTGATCATGAAGTATACACTCTGCCCTCTATGTTTGGACTGGTTTATCTGCATTCCAAAACCCTAGTACAATGGAGTCACTTTGTATGGTGATAAAGGTATAAGAATGGAATATTGTCTAGCAGACACCATTTAAATTATGAGGCTCAGTTTTTTAAAGAGATATAGATTTATGCCTTTACTACAGGAACAAAGCAAAGTATGTTAGCTGATAAACTAACTTTCTGTCGTATGATCGCTAACTTTCCAATTTCTTGCAATGCAAATGAAGTCATTACACAAAGCAATGACTGAAAAAGTCTCAAGAGCATCTCATTATGATCTGCAGATATAGAAGTGGAGATCTCAGCTCTCTGTCATCCCAACTGGATCTGATGAATTCCTCCCATCTGGGACTTGCAGACTCAGTCTGTTTAAACAATGTTTCTATGAACTATAGCAAACCAAGTGAATCACTGACGAAAGTAGGATTATTTCTCCAGTAAAATGCAATGATGGACAATAGTTACCAAGTACAAAATTATTTGCAGAAAATCAAATCCAGTAATTTGTAGCAGTGCAGATATGATTGACAGGTGAATCACCCAATTATCTTGTCGTTGGACTTGTGATAGCATGATATTGCAATGAAAAGGATAAACTTTCAAGTTAAGGCAACAGCCAGAAAAGAAGATACTTTTGAAGAAAATGCAAAGTTCAAAACAGCTTTCTTCAAGTAAGATTATTTGTTATGGGATTATACCATGATGGAGGACGCTAAAACCATCCCAAAAGCAACAAGTAAGGCAGAAATTGTAGCTAAAGAGAAACTTAAAACAATTGTCTTCACTAGGGAAAAAGTACTGAGCAAACTATTGGGATTGAAAGCATGCAAGTCCCCAGGGCCTATGGCTTACATATTACAGGTTCAAAGGAAGTGGCAACAGATGTCGATTTTAATATTGCCAAATTTCCTTGATTATGGAAAGCTTCCAGTGGATCGGAAAGATGCTAATGTAACACCCTTATTCAAAAAGGAGGGAGGCAGATCAGAGAAAACCTTAGATCAGTTAGTTTAATGTCAGCCATTGAGAAATTATTAGAATCCATTATGAAGGAAGCCTTCTTCTTTAGGCAGTAATGGTATCGAGACTGTGTCATCGACTGTATCCATCTCTGAGGAAGTAGTGATGGGACATTTGGAAAGTCGAAATGCAACCTATCAGAGTCAGCATGGTTTTATGAAGGGTAAAAACCGAAAAAAAAACTGTGGATGCTATAAATCAGAAACAAAATTAGAAATTGCTGGAAAAGCTCAGCAGGTCTGGCAGGGTCTGTGGAGGGAAATCAGAGTTAATGTTTCGGGCTGAGAGACGCTTCCTCAGAATTGGCAGTTGACATCAAAGGCAACTAGGGATGGGCAATAAATGCTGGGCAGCCAGCAACGCCTGCATCGCATTAGTGATGAAGGCAAGTGGGGAGTATTCCAACACACCTCTTGCTCAAGGTTTAACCCCACAGCCTTTTGCTTTAAAAACTAACAACCTAGAGTTGTTGGAGCTGAAGATCCAAAGGAGGGTTTTAAACAGGGAAGGCATCTGCTTGTTCCAACATTATGTCTGATTATTTTTTTCCCTTTAACTGGCCTACCTGGAGGTAAATGTATCTACCTGAGATCCTCAAGCTGTGTGATCAGCAGCGCCCCCTACCTGGAGCACTGCTAAGGTGTTGGAGCTGCTTAGCCTCTGATTAGAGCAGCAGCAGCAGAAGCCCACTTCCTTCTTAATTGATTGGTGGCAGGGTTGGGCAATCGCAGACTGTGAAGTAGGAGCCCAGCCTCAGGAATATTGCCAAACCAGGCCTGCTGTTGGTAAGTGCAGGCAGGGTCTGGCCTTACGCTCCATGTTAGGGCCCCAAAGCTAGTAGTAAGACAAAGTCCAACTTTTCAGGTCAGTAGTGCTTTGTGGGAAAAGCTGGTATGTTGTGAATGACTGATGATCAGTTGCTCATCAGATGAATGCAGTGCATTTGCTGAAGGTGACAATGAGACAGGTACCTCATGTTACATAAAGACTGGGGTGAGGAGCAATGAGATTTGAAGGAATCGGGAAGTGATGAAGTTCATAGAAAATAAGGGCTGAATACTGCTCAAAGTTGAATCAGTGGAAGTGAGCAATGCTATAATGGAATATGTCTCGCAAGGTTTAGAGAAAGAGGGTGAAACCACAGGGTGTAGGTGAATTAACAAATGTAATTACTTCTCTTGACCTGGTGAGGTCATAAACCCGTTTCCTCATCCAGAATGTTGGCATAATGCTTCTGGCGCTCACTGCTTCGATAATGTCCAACCATACCATCTTGGTAAGAGCTTCCTTTACCAATGGCTGAGCAGAAACACGCAGACCTGCAAAATTCCTGTTCCATACATCAAAACAGAAACCCTGAGAAAAACAAGAAATGTTCTGGAAAAAAAACCATGAGTGGCCTTTGTTTCTAGCCATTTGGCAAAATAGGTCAGCAATTAGTTTATCAAACTCATAAGGAGATTATTTCACTTCTAGTTAGTGAAAGCTCTTTTTGAAAATGATATTATTGCATCTGAAGATGATTGTTAGGAAACTTGTGAAAAAAATCCTTACCATTGTGTTCCTGTTGCTATGCAACTCAGCTTAAGGTTACAATGATAGCGATTGGACTGACATCTGCTGGAGTGTTGAGCTTTTTGCAATTTGTTGTAACCATTTAGAAGGTTTCATTTCATAACTGGCTTGGTCATTTGTTTTCATTACAAGTGCAGCAAATTGTTGTCTGTATTTAGCATCAGAACATGGTCTTGTTCCTCCACATTCCGAAGAAACATGTTCCCACTCATCTGACCATGATGGAGAATCACACAGAAGCATCCCTTCCCTGAAAGCTTTTCCTTCCGTGTCCATTTTGTTAAGATCCAGCTCTGGCATCTGCCCTGGAAAGCAGACCGTTCAGAACCTGATTCCTACCCCACAACCAAAGAGATATTTCTCTCCCCAACCCTATCTGCCTTTCATAGGGACTGCTCTCGCCTGGCCTGCTGTGTTCCTTCAGCTCCATATTGTTTGTCACTGATTCAAGCATCTGCAGTTCTTGCTATCTCTATTAATTCACAGTTTTTGTTTCTCATCATCAGACTTTGTTGCAGTTCAAAATCATGTCAGCAGGTTAAGATTTGCATCTCCATCATGATCCAGTTTTTTTAGACAGATGCACCAATACCTGAAAGAATTTCTGGTCTCCTTGTTATAGGAAGGATGTTGTGTAACTTGAAAAGGTTCAGAAAAGATTTGCAAGGATGTTGCCAGGGTTGGAGGGTTTGACCTATAGGGAGAGGCTGAATGGGCTGGAGCTATTTTCACTGGAAATTCGGAGGCTGAGGGGTGACTTTATAGAGGTTTATAAAATCATGAGGGGCATGGATAGGGTAAACAAACAAGGTCTTTTCCCTGGGGTGGCGGAGTCCAAAACTAGAGGGCATAGGTTTAAAGTGAGAGGGGAAAGATTTAAAAAGGCCCTAAGGGGCAACCTCTTCACCCAGAGGATGGTGTGAGTATGGGATGAACTGCCAGAGGAAGTGGTAGAGACTGGTACAATTACACCATTTAAAAGGCATCTGGATGGGCATACAAAGGGTTTAGAGGGATGTAGGCCAAATGCTGGCAAATGGGACTAGATTTATATCGGATATCTGGTCGGCATGGACAAGTTGGACCAAAGGATCTGTTTCCGTGTTGTATATCTCTATGACTCTATGATTCTTTAATTGTCTGTTATTGTTAATTTTGCTTTAGTTTCTAATCATCTGAAGATTAAAACTTGCTGGAAGAAGTTTGTTTGCATGTTGATTCCCTGAGGCTAAATAACTTGACACAAGCAGATTCTCCGTCTCTCTCTGATGCCAGTATAGAAATTCTGATATGTGTCAATGCTTTAATCTTCATTGGCAGCAATAAATGCTTGTAGCTCTCATGCCAATAGGCATTTCTTTCTGTGTTGTTAAATTCTGATCATTCATCATGGCTGGCACTGCTTAACACATCCAAATTTGCAAATCTTTAATGGTGGATCTCTTGCCACAGCACAGGCAGAGGATGTTGGCACTGCTGACATCATCATTTTGCACTTGACACTAGAAGCTGGTCCTGACTCTGCCCAAATGTGTGGTGCCCACTGATGCCCAAGGAATTCTTTCTACCCTCACTCCCCTCACATCTCCATTCAGTGTCACACTCTCCAGCTTGCTGCTTCATTCAGTGTTCCATTTTCCGTGTCACATAATGCCCCGCTCCCTTCGTCAGTGACTCCTTTGCCACTCCTTGCTACTTCCCTGGTTGCTCTGCTCCCTACTCCTCAATCCCTCCCTCCCTCATTGTTCCCCTCCCTCATTGTCCAGTGAACAATGAGGCAGCACAGCAGTGACTGGGAGTTTGGCAATGAGTGAGCCCATATCCCAAGAGGTGAGTTCCTTCAAGGTGTTTGAAAACTACCTATTGTATTTTCATACTCTTTGCTGTGATACTGCTAGCAGTAATGTCATGTACTGCATGGGTGCACTCCTTGTCGTCAAACTGGTAATAAAGGCAGCCATTCATCAGTCAGTATAGTTAGTCATATAATGCTTACTTTCTATCGAAACAAAACCATCGCTGGCTCGTAAATTCACACCCAAGTTCCGAAGAACAAGAGCAAAGAACAATACAGCACAGGAACAGGCCCTTCAGCCCTCCAAGCCTGTAATGCATTTTACCCTTCCATATTAAAACTGTCTTTACTTACAGGATCTGTATCCCTCTATTCCCTTCCTATTCATGTATTCGTCCAGGTGATTCTTGAATGCTGCTATTGTGTCTGCATCCATCACCTCCTCTAGCAGCACGTTCCAGGCAATGACCACCCTCTGTGTGAAAAACCTGCCTTGCACATCTCTTTTAAACTTCACCCCCGCACCTTGAATTTGTGTCCCCCAGTAATTGACCCTTCCACCCTGGGAAAAAGCCTCATACTTTCCAGTCTATCCATGCCATTCACAATCTTATAAACGTCTAACAGGTTGCCCCCTCAACCTCCTGGATTCCAGTGAAATCAAACCCAGTCTATCCAACCTTTCTTCATAGCTAAAATCCCCCATACCAGGCAACATCCTGGTAAACCTTTTCTGTACCCTCTCCAAAGCATCCACATCCTTCTGCTAGTGCGGTAAGCAGAACTGTACGGAAAAAAGTAAGGATATATTTCCTTGTTTGGGGTGTTGGCTGACATGAACTGAACTCAGATAGGTCACCCTATTGCCTGAAATGTTGGCCGGATTTTATTTCTTGTGATTTGGGGGATGGGGTGGGGGAGTTCGAATGTCACTACCTGCTGGAGCAGCAATAGCAGCCCATTGCACGGAGGATGTGCAGTGCAATATCAGGGAGATCGAATGGTTAGGTAGCTGCTGGTCAGTAGCTGGCCATACGGGGGACTGAGAACTCCAAGACAGAAATGTTACCTGAGAGTAGCTGACTATTCAGAGTCAATAGTTTACCATTGCTGGCGGCATCGCCCTCAGTATTTGCTGCTGATGGCTAGTCTCCGAGGACCAGCCGAAGGAATACAAGTGGATCCCTGGGCACAGGTAAGCATGATAGCACTGAGGCTGCAAGATGGGAGTCATCAAAGGGATTGGTGCAAGGTGGTTGAATGGAAGGGTGGAGGGGTTGGTGGCTTTCAGATTCTGTCAGTGAGGGAACCCACTCTCTCTGGCCACCATGAGGCCAAACAAAGACAACAGTTTTGTTGGGCAGCCTGCATTTCACACGGGAGAGCCTTGATCTCAATAAACCTGCAAAATTCTGACAGGGTGCATGCAGGAAATTTTGTTTGCCCTGGTTAGAAGGTCTAGAATGAGAGGACATGGTCTGAATATAAGAGATAGACCAAGATGAGGAGAAGTTTCTTCACACAGAGACTAGTGATTCTTTGGAGTCTCCCTATCCCAGTGAGCTTTGGAGGTCTAGTCATTGATTGTATTCAAGAGATTGACAGATTTCTAGATATTAAAAATATAAAATGATATGGAGATAGTGTGTGAAATGGCATCAAAGTGGAAGATCAGCCATAATTTGTTTATAGGGCAGAGCATGCTCAATGAGCTGAATGGCCTACTCACACCCCTCTCTCTTATGTTCCTATATTTCCATTACTGAAGATTCCATTAATGAAGATTCCATCACTGAAGATGCGGTAAAGCAGTTATTGCTGGAAGTTACATTATGGCTTGGATTTTCAATGCCCAGACATTCTGCAGATCTCCGTAGTAGTAGACTCCGAAAGAATGAAAAGAAATTGAAGATTCCACTGGGCAATTCTCCTACACTTGGACCTCTGCAAAAATCTTCAAAAGAATTTGGAGGGTTCTAATGAAATTAAGCAAAATAATTATTCACGAAAAAAATAGACGATTAAATACCTAGTCTAACTCCTGAATAACTGTTCAACTGAGTCCATACTTACCCCATATATCCCCAACTACACCCATCCCACAGCATGAACCACCCCTGAATTCTGTCAGTAATCATTGAGTGTCAATCGATGATGCTAATTTGCACTTCACTGCTAATGGGTGGGATTCCTGCTTCAGTTCGTACTGCTCCCGACTTAATTGAGGGTAATTTTCCTGAATCCAATACTCCCACTCAATTCGTCCAGGTCCCCACCATTGTTTCCTCTTTCGTAGCCTCAAGTAAATTCTGCCTGTTAACTCTGTTCCCATCTCCACAGTTGTTGACTGAATGACCGAAGATATCCAGCATTTTTTTTTTTACCTCAGGTTTTTGGCATTCTCTTAATTTTATTTTTATTCTATTTCAAAATAGCCTCAAAGGAGCTCCCACTGGCTGTTGCATTGTGATTCTGCTTGGCTGATACATCCTTGTGCTTTAGTAACTGTAACTTGTTCGTATTAGATGACAGCTGGGGACTCCTTATACGTCCTTTTGTTTTGCACTGTTATTAAAATAATAAAAATGTTCAACAGCTGGTTTTCGGTCTTGAATATCAGTTATGGCTGGGTTGATAGCACTTTTGAATCATGAGGTTCTGGGTTCAAGTCCTACTCTCTGATTTGAGGGTAAAAGAGAACACTTAATGCTCCAATGCAGTACTCAGGGTGTGCTGCACTGCTTTAGGTGCTGTATTTTGTGTCACACTGAATGCAACATATGTCTGTTTGAGTGGATGTAAAAGATCCATAGCATTATTCCAAAGTGGGGGAGGTCCATTCATTGCCCTGCCCATCTCCATCCCTCATTATTTCATCATTGTCTTATTGTTATTTTTGGGAGTCATGTCCAAATTAGTTGTTGGGTTTCCTATATTACAACAGTAAATAAACTCTAAAAGGTACTAAAATGATTATAAAGTGCTTTAAGATATCCGGTGGTCATGAAATACTCATCTTTTTAAAGAGCATCCTCTGATGCAACTGTCAGAAGGTGGCAGCATAAGGCATTGGTACATAGAACATAGAACATATATGGAGCATGACTGTATTTTAAACTAATTGAAAATAGAGTTTATTTTTCATTTATTGTTGTTGACGGAGTCAAAGGGAAAACCAATAACATTTTCCCGTGTGGTGGTTTGCAAAAACAGAATTTATTACAGTGAACATTTTTTTCATTTGCTCTGCTGTATATTTTCATGACCAAAATAATTCATTTTTGCAATTTTTAGGAGACTAGTGAAATTACCCAGTGCTAATACAAGCCTCCTTGTCACTGCAAACATCATCACTTTGATTCACCATTTAAATGTTTGGGTCTGTTTTAATCATGTGCTGGCAAATGAGGCAGAATGTTGGTCAGCAGATGCTTTTGTTATTACAATGGTTTTTGTTCCCCCACGGGAAAAATTTCCAATATTTGAATCAGGAGACGTCAGCAATATGAGTTTTGCGAAATGATCTACAAACGTAATTGGGGATCCGTGTTCTACAATGGCTTGGCTGTGAAACAAAATTGTTCAGCATTTGTAACCTAAAGTCTGCTGATTTGGGTGAAGAAAGCCTATTATCGACTATTGTGTTTCCAAGGCCACAGCTCAATTTACACACTTGTGCTTTTTGAGATTGTTAACTCTAGAATTCCCAATGTCCTCAGAACAAGACATAATACATGTTCACTTGAAAATCCGTTGTGTTTCACTGGGTAGGAAATTCACGAGTGTGTATTGTGTTGTCACTGTGGCATTTTGATTCCCTTTTACAACATTACTAGCTAGAAATTTCATGCCATTCAAACCTGCAGAAAAATATCTAAAAGGATTATGCAGAATTGTCAAAGAGGAAAATCTGTTTTGAATCTCCTGCCAGATATCAAAGACTGAGAACCTATTGACCTTATTTGCTCTCTAAGAGAAAATACCACAATAATGTGCAAAGCCAGGTGATGCTTAACAAATTAAAATGCTCCGCATTGAAATATTAATAAATCCCCGAGTTCAGTAATTCAGTGGAGATTGTGTTAAACTGGAGAAACAGTTGTCAGTGTTGCTGGAAAGCGAATGCAAAATGCATCTCTTTGGACAAATAACCTCTACTCGTAAGTCCAACAAATATTAGGTATTTACACTTTACTAAACAATCTTGAAAAGGTGCACACCATGGGCCCATATGCATCTTTTACTAACAGTTTTCTGAGGAAGTGAATGACATCTGTTCTGAAATTCTACGATATTGAAACTCGGTGTGGCTGTCAACACTGGATGCGGTACAACAGTTATTGCTGGAAGCTATATTATGGCTTGGATTTTCGATGCCCAGAGATTCTGCAGATCTCCGTAGTAGGAGACTCCAAAAAAATGAAAAGAAATTGAAGATTCCACTGGACAATTCTCCTACACTTGGAACTCTGCAAAAATCTTCAAAAGCATTTGGAGGGCTCTAATGAAATTAAGCAAAATAATTATTCAAGAAAAATTAGTCGATTAAATACCTAGTCTAACTCCTGAATATCTGTTCAACCGAGCCCATACTTACCTTACATATACCCATCCCAGAACACATATACTCCAGACCCTGACTCTCCCTTGAACCCAACACTTCTGTCATGCTCTGGACCTGAATTCTCCTTCCCCGATTTGACAGTGAAGTCAACAGTTTCAGATTATAAACTCTGTCCTCCTCCTTTGTTTCAATCTTTTCCTTGCTTCAATATCTCTATTATTTTCAATTTCAGACAGTAGCACCAAAGATCCAGTCACATCTTCTGTTTCTTGGTTTCTTTTCCCCTGCTCAGCGAGGCTTCGCTGGAAGTACTTTTTCTCAGAAGTACTTTGATTCAGTCTGACTAGATATCCAACATGCCTTCTCCAATTTCCCCTTTCTCGTTTCTTTGCCAACATCAGAGACTTTCATCCATCCTTTTCATAGGCCCTGGGATTTCTGGTTTCTACATTTCAACTCAACTAGGTCTAGCCCTCAGCTCGCTAAACACTGTACTGGCAGCAGGAAGGGTCCCATAGGTACTGTGACTATCACCATCTGCTACTGAAGACCCCTCCTACACTCTCCTGCATCTAAACCGTTACTGTTCACAAGCACAACCCTCTTGGAACCAGCATGGTCACTCTTTGCCACTGGTGAGCATGCATTTCCATCTCTTAAAGCCATGGATCAGTGCGTCCATGGAATCCTCGCTATATTAGAATCATACAGTACAGAAGAGGCCCTTTGGCCCATCGAGTCTGCACCTACAAATGCTGCTATAGATCTACCCTAGTCCCACGTTCCAGCACTTGGCCCATAACCTTGAATGTTATGACATTTCAAGACTTCATCAAAGTATTTTGTAAAGCTTGTGAGGTTTCCCACCTCAACCACCCCCCCAGGCAGTTACATTCCAGATTCCCACCACCTTCTGAGTGAAAACATTTTTCCCCCAAATCCCCTTTAAACTGCCTGCCTTTTACCTTCAAATTGCGCCCCTTGTTTTTAACCTGATGAAGGGGAACAGTTGCTTTCTATCCACCCTGCCTATGCCTTTCACAATCTTATACACCTCTATCATGTCCTCTTTCAGCCTTCTCTACTCCATAGAAAACCACCTGACTTTCTCCAAATGGAGATTAATTCTCTCCTTCAGAATTTTCTCTGATAGTTTCCTACCACTGATATGAAGCTTAATGCTTTGTAATTCCCTAATTTGTTTCTACCACCCTTCTTAAAAAGTGGGACCACGTTCATATTTATTCCAGTTGCATTGCAACATGTTCCAGACCCTCCATTTTCACTAGGCTTCCAACTAGAAATCTAAAACAGCTGCTCAAAAGCCTGTCAATGAGCCATAGAGTCATAGAGCATGGAAACAGACCTTCGGTTCAACCAGTCCATGCTGAACATAATCCCAAACTAAACTAGTCCCACCTGCCTGTGCTTGGCCCATATCCCTCCATGCATTTCTTATTCATGTAATTATCTAAATCTGTTTTAAATTTTGTAACTATACCCGCATCTAGCATTTCCTCTGGAAGTTTATTCCACACACGAACCACTCTTTGTGTAAAAAAAAAGCTCCTCATGTCTTTTTTAAATCTCTCTCCTCTCACCTTAAAAATATGCCTTCTAGTCTTGAAGTCTCCCAACCTAGGGAAGAGACACCTGCCATTCAATTTTTGTATACCCCTCATGATTTTATAAACCTCTATAAACTTACAACCTCCTATGTTCCAGTGAAAAAAGTTCCAGCCTATCCAGCCTCTCCTTATAACTCAAACCCTCCATTCCCTGCTACATCCTGGTAAATCTCTTCTGAACCCTCTCCAGCTTAGTAATATCCTTCTTATAGAGCCTTGCAACAAACTGAACAAAGTTATTTGAAGATGTGAGGGCTGTTGGCTCCCTTGCTTTGAAGATCGAGTCATGTTAAGTAGGGGCCGGGATTCTGGGACACAATTTGCGAACGTTATCTTCAATGCGCACCAACACCAAACCCCATCCTCAGGGATGATGGAAAATCTGTACATTGATAACGGAGAAATCATACCCCAGTATTGGCCACTATCGGCAGGAGGAACTGGGGGAGGAAATTGTTTTTCGCCGAGAGCTTTTATTTAGTGATTGCCATAATGTACTACACTACATCATGTAATTTCACATGTCGTGACCCTTTTATTCCAAGCTCCACTCCATTGGTATGCACAACAGCTCAAGCCTTACTGATACAAGCAACTCCTGATGACTTAATGTTGCATGCATGTGTCATTGACAGTTCAGAGATACATGCTTGGAGAACGCTCTGCACCTTGTTAAGAGCTGGTTAGTGTGCTATTCAATCAAAGCTGACTCCCCCTCATGGATTGTCATATTCTCCTGCTCACAGCACATTAGGCATCTGACCCACTTTTCAGAGCCAGGAGAAAATATATGCGCACAGCGAGAATCAAAAACCATAAAATATGGAAGATATAAGGAACAGAAGCAAAAACAAACTGAAGCAAATTCAGAGTTTATACCCTCACTGTGTCTTTAGTGAGTTCAATGTCTCCTCTGTCAAAAGTGTCTATATTAATAGACTTTTCATCTAAACAATTACATGTAATTTAAACTGCACTATTTGCTGTGACCGTAGAATATATTAGTAACTGTTTTGGTAAGACTGCAATTCAATGCAGAAATGAAACACCATGAATAGTTACCAAAAGCTCAAATAACAATCAAAGGAAAAATAAGATTTATTGCATCGGCAGAAAGTTATGACCATTATAGATTTAATTTGTTCCCTTTGAATGCAGCTATTCCATATGAGTTGCGGCTGAATGCAGAAGTTCCCGAATATTGCCATCCTTATCCTTCGTTTTCACAGGAACATGCTGGTTCTGAAGTCTAATTGACTGGTCTTCAAAAGATTCCCACATGACAGATGGGGATTTATCCTCAAACGGCTGTCCCCAGTCTACATTCCCCAGTTCCTGCCTCATATTATCATCGTTAGCCTTCCTCCA